TCCGTGTCAAGTATGGAAAAGATTCTGTCCCTCGAGAGCAGCACATTCAGTAATTTTAAAGGTCAGAGATCAAATGTGGAAATTAGCTTCCAGCTATAGAAATACATTGACTTACACACAACAGAAAACATGGTCTTCTGGTGTATTGGCTATTGATGCATATATAAATTAGTCATTAGATGCCCTGATACGGGTATCTCAAGTGCTCATAATAATAGCCCTCATTTATGGAGTGTCTACTTCATGAAAGGCAACTAACTATACTTCAAGTTAGTTTATCTCAAATCCTCATGATAATGCTGCAAGTGGAAAAATCAGGCTCATTTAAAAACAACAACAAAAAGGGGAATGTACCCAGGGTAATACAGTCATGAGTTCTAAAGCTAGGATCCCATGCCAGACCATCTGAGCAAAAACTCCCATCACTAGAGGTGCCTGGGTGGCTTAGTCAGTTAAGCATCTATCTTGAGCTCAGGTCAGATCTCAGGGTCCTGGGATGGAGCCCCAAGTAGTGGAACCCTGTGTTATCCAACCCCACCTCATCCAGCTCAGCAGGGAGTCTGCTTCTCTCTCTCTCCTCCTGTTTGTTCTCTCTCTCCCTCCCTCTCAAAATATTTTTAAAAACTTCTTCTATCGAAAGGTGAGAAAATGAGTGAAAATATCAGTGAGGGTGACAAAACATGAGAGACACCTAACTCTGGGAAATGAACAAGGGGTAGTGGAAAGGGAGGTGGGTGGGGGGTTGGGGTGACTGGGTGATGGGCACTGAGGGGGGCACTTGGCGGGATGAGCACTAGGTGTTATGCTAAATGTTGGCAAATTGAACTCCAATAAAAAAACAAACAAAATACCTTCCCATATCTATACCACCAAGCTCTTATCATCCATAACAAAAATGTGCAGGGAGCACACTGCCCTGTGATGAGTGCCCAGGTGCATGGCTCTCCCCAGGGGGAGATTCTGTCCCCTGAACCCTTACACACAGAGTGTTATTTTCTTTTTACAGGCTATTGCTGACTTGACAAGTGAAATATAATGATGGCACCTGTTAATTTGCTGTTGTTTTCTCAGGTGTTGATTCTGAAAAATTTCCTCATTTTGGATTATCTGATTTGGACTTCTCTAACATGCATTGTTTTGAGAGTAGTTCAAAAGACAAGGATGGGTTGGTTTGTCTCTTTGAACTTTTAAGCTGGGAAAGGGGAAAAGAATCCTAAGCTTTTGAGCTCTGATTTTAAGTGTTTTTGTATGTATCAGTCATTGAGGTAGAGAAGAACAAATTCCCAGTCACCCTCACCAAAAGATTACAAAGCATGTTTTGTTTCTTTTTTTTTTTTTCAGTTGGTCAGAAATTGTGTCTGCTATTTTGCATCTGGGAGTAAAACTGAGCTCACTAGCAAAATGTCTGTTTTGATAAATAAAGAACAAAAAGACCAAAACTAATGAATTCCACAATGGAAGGTGCCGTGGGAAATATAATATAGAGTAGTAGAATCAGGGGTTTGTTTACTATGATTCTATGTATCCATCTGATGGGGAGTATAAATAGTTTTCTTTATACAAAGGGACCCAGGGAAATAGTGAATCAGAGAATAATTGACTTGTCTTGGTATGTTTGTGAATGTGCATTTTTATCTGATGGCAAATATGCTGTTGGCCTTTGAGTCAGTCACCCACCATAGAATTTCCTCAGCCTCCTATGCACCAAGATTGAATGCCCATCCCCCCCAAAACATTTCAAATTAGCATTAATCAGCCAATGTTGTATTTGGGGCCCTATGTGAAAGCCACCTACTGCAGCTGAATGCCATTCAGCACGCAAAAAGTGATTTGCAATATAATTTAAATTAAGAGTTGGTTTTCTTTCCCATTTAGGATACACCAGTATGGAAAACTGATTGTCAGACATTCTGGTGATGTGCATCAACTTGGCTATTCACTCAGAAAATGAAGTTTCCTGAGACACCGGCACATTTAATTTATTTTTTTTTCCCTGTGAAGTTAACTTCAGCTTTTTAAATACAATGACTATCCAAACCACAGAAAAACGAACACCATTAATTTTAATGCTCATAATGTAATGGAAGGAGATTATATTCAGTTGGGATTTTTTCCCCTTTAATAGAATGTTTATTTGCCCCTCTCCTTATGAGTTAATTATTATTTTCCTCCCATAATATTCTGTTTATATCTGCGCAGCCTTACAGCGTGTCTGTTAATGTCTCCAGTTTATGAATTGCTGGTGAATCTATCATTTTGCAGTGTCTATCACTAAAACATCAATAGCCTGGCAGCGTGCTGAGTGAATATGCGGCTGATAGGAATGCAGTGGGTTCCTTACAGAACCCTCTCATCTATTTTTATAAAACATTTAGTTTTAGTAGAGTTTCTTTTCTATGCTTTGATTGGGATATTGAATGACTTTTCAGTGAATTATATAGTACTGAGTTAAGCATTGGTAACCTTCTTTCTTATCATGCAGGTATTTATTTTTAATTCATCTTTTTAATCACTTCATGGGCACTGAGAGCGTATCCTGCTTTTGCAAATAGTGTGCTATGTATTAGGGATTAAAAATAATTAAGATGAAGTCCCTGTTTTCATAGACTTCCTAGTTATGAGCAGGAATCTCCATGTAGTAAGATGAAGGTACAAGCAAATTGAGTGTAAGGTAATAGAGGACATGAAGGAGGGAGCATTCCCTGGAGAGGCAGCCTCTAAGGAAGACTTTGAGGAATAGGAGATGCTAGTGCTAGATCCTGCAGAGGTAGGCATTGAGTTCTTCAGGTTGGCAGTGAGATAATGAGAGGATGGGGTAAGGCAGTACAGGCAGAGAGAATAGTGAATGCAAAGTGGAGAAGCAAGCCTTTTGTTGGAACTTACCATATGTTATTTAAATAATAATAATATAAACTGGCATTTACCTGTTCACCATTTGCTGCCCACTATTTCAAATTCTTATATCTGCAAACTCAAGCCTTATAATAACTCTTTGAAGTTATCCTTTTTTACAAATTAAAATTTGGAGAGATATGGTAACTATATCACATAGCTGATAGGATCAGGACCAAGACCAGAGCCCAGGTGTTTTCACTCTAAGGCCTCTAAATACGATATTATGCTTGTGGCATCTTTACCCTTTGGAGACTTCACTCCCTCTGTGCAGACAAGACAAGCTAATAATGACTGGCGTTCAGGACTGTGTCTACATGGGGATGATCATGGTGCCTATCACATGTGAAGAGGATTAAGTGAGATATGAAATATGTGAAATGGTTAGAACAGTGCCAGGTACATACTAAAGCATTTGTTAACTGTTGATACTATGATGATTAATGTCTTAGAAGTAGTAGAGCCCAATATTACCTAGGAATCCAATAGTACTTAGTAATTCAAACCATGTAGGGCAGTTTATTGCAAAGGGCATTGGTCAAGAGGTATTTTGTGGAGTTGGTGGCATTTGATGTAGCTATGGCTTAATTGTAGAATTCCTATAGATAGGACCTGGGGACAGGGGGAGTATTTCAGCAAAAGAGAATAGAACACAGAAATGCAAGCAGACTAGAAAACTCAGTCATATTTTTAAAAAGTAAACTAATTTGATGCAACCAGGAGGTCTGTGAAGAGAAGCAGGGAAGGTAAGGTTTAACAGATAGGTACAAGTTATTTACAACTAATAATATTTCTTGAGTGTTTTGCATTGTTTTTTGTATTATTTAGTCATCATAAAAATTTTCCTGGAGTCATAGACTCATTTTTTTCCCATTTGAAGAAAATTGAGATTCAGACAAATCATATGATTTGCTTAAAGTCATCCAGCTAACCAGTGATATAACTTGGACTTAGACCCAGGTGTGTGTTACTTAAAGTACCATACTTATTGGACCACATCGCCCTTTACATATTGTAGCTCTGACCTTCCTAATACATCATGAATATTTATGGAATAATGTTTTTCTAGTGAAAGCGATGAGAAAGAAAAGTAAGAAAAAGTCAACCTGTTCTTTGTAGAGTTCTGCATTTCAATCACAATAGCCCAAAATTTTCCCAGTTATAGTCTGTAACTACTTCCATTAAGATGGAAAGAACCAGTGTCTCTGAGTCCCCCTGTGCGCGTGCGCACACACACACACACATACACACACCCCCTCGGGTTTTCTTTTTGTGTGTCCCTGGTATAACACCATAGATAACATCCCACCTATGGTATAAAAGCTAATGGTTAAGAGTTGAGGCTTTGGAGAGCTGCCAGCTGCCAGGTGCCAGCATTAGACCTGCAGCTCTGCCTTGCGTAACTATGGTCATGAACAAGATTCTTAAATTCCTGTGTCTTCGTTTCCTTCTATGTTTAGTGACGATAATAATAGTACCTGTATCAGTGGGTTGCTGCTAGGAATAAATCGATTAATGTACCTAAAGACTATACTTAAAACTCTATACTCATTCCTTAATATTAGCATTATTATTGTCATTATTGTGCCTTATATCTCACATCTCTTGAGATAAAGAACTGAGACAGGCTCTGTTGGTGAGGGCAAGGGAAAGCTGTTTCTCCGTAAATTGGTAAAGAGACTGTAAAATTGTACAGCCTCTGTGGATGGTAATTTGACAATATCTATCAAAATTTAAAATGTTTTCTTTACCAAATAATATCATTCTAGGTTTTTGTTTTATAGATAGAGCCATACCATTTGTACCTTTTGAATTTTAGCCCATGTATGGATAACCTAGTCCAAACGTTTAAAGTACAGACTGATGAATGTGCTATTCTTTGTACCTTCCACATCGCCAGGCACAGCACTAGGCACAGAGATGCTGAAAATTCCCTTTATCCTTGAGATCTTTGTGCCTGAGGCCCACCTCCATGCACCACACATATTAGAATGCTTCATGCTGAGCCGCTCACTCCAAACTCCACTGTGATGACTAACTTGGTACTTTATTCTTCTTTCTCCTTCATTGGTTTGCTTTCAAAATGACAGAGGTGTCTTTCATTGCAGCTATGTCCTTGGATTTTCTCGATGACGATTCCTGATTCGTGGCCCTGGCAGTCTTGGGGAAACGTTGTCGAGTTTCTTCAATCCAGACCTTGGGGCCTCCTTTTTCTCCACATCACTCCCAACCAGTTGATCGAACCACTTTCTAGGACATATGTGAGTAAAATGCTGAATTCTTTGAAAACAGTTCAATCATCACCTCCTCACACCGCGTCCTCTACTTTTGATCGTGTTTTTGTCTCTCTCAAATGCTTTTCCAGTAGTCTCCCTTTTTGGAACTAGCTGCTTGCTTAGAGTTAATATTCTCATGTTCATTATTTGTTTAATCACAGACTTGTTCAAGGAGGTGGTTGCCAGTAGAATCTAAGAACTGAAAGGCACATGCCTTTGTTCTCCTGTGTGGTTCCATTCAGGGTTACTTGTCTCTGACTCAGATTGGAGACTAAATGGATTAGAATAAAACCAATTTAAGGGAAAAAAAGAAATGTTCACAGACACAGAAATTGAGAATCTTGCTATCTTGGCTGCCTAAGATCTGCAGACCTCACCAAGGAATTTAAAAAGTAATGTTTCTTATCATAAGTGACAGAAATATGCTGCTTTCTGCATCAGTAGATATGAAGATTAAAGGGTTTGACCGTATTAAACAATTTTGCACAGCACCAGGCACTCTGGGTTCTGCTCTCTCTGCCTTATTACCTTTCATCTTGTGGCTATTTCAGGCCCAATTTAAGAATACAATGCAGTCTGGCTTTGCAAATTGACATCCTTTAATTTAAACTGTCTTGTGGGAGAATTAAGAAATTATGCAACAATTATTTGCCCTCAGTTGAAAGCTGGATGGCATCCTGAGATCCTTGTACATTAGCCATTTGAATTGATTAAGTCACATAATTGAATTACACTTTTGCCCCCATAATATCTTGTGGCAAATATGTTGGCATTGTGTGTTGAGAAAATGTTCCTATAAAAACACAGTAGGGGTTGGGGTTGGACGTTGACTTGGGTGTCAAAGAAAACCTCTAAGCAGAGTGGGCGGACACTGAAAGATTTTGTGTGGGAGGCTAATTAGCAGAGCAAGCCTTTCCATCTGGAATTTAAATGGAAGTTCACAGGTCACAAGTGTATGCATGATATGGGGGAAGTATGCATGCCCAGTCTTCCTTGGCATTATCCTTCAATGTTCAGCTTAGAATCCACTACTCATTCTCAAACTTCTCTCTCTCTCTCGCTATCCCCCCATGAACAAAAATGTTGGGTTTGGTATAAATTCCTTTGTCCTGCATGCTTTCCCATGTATGCTTCAGTCATGGCATCCCCCACAGTGATAACAAGTCTCCTTTACCAGCAATATGACTGACCTAGGAACTTTGTCCAACTCACCTAGCATGCGAATTAGCACTCAGTGTTTGTAGAATGAGGTGTTACTTGGAAGTTTCAGTGGTTTTATCTCTAAACTCATTTTTCTTTTGTAGAATGAGAATCAGAAGGAGGTAAAGTCTGTTAATAATTTCTGAAGCATTGTTCTTAAGTAGGGATTTTTATGCCATTTATGTCATTAGGCCATTTAATCAAGGACTTATTAAACACCAACTCTATCCATTTAACACATGTTTATTAGATGCCTATTATATACGAAAGCTTAGGGTGGGTGCTGAGGGGGAAAAGTCATGAAAAACAAATCCCAAATAGAAAAATATTTCCTATTCTTTAAAGAAGCTCAAAATCCAGTTGGGGATTGGAGAGGTCAGTGTAGGACATAGCCCTGGTGACCAAAAGAGCTAGCAGGAGGCTGCTGAAGAGTCCAGGATTCATGAAGAAGTGATGGTACATTCCACTTGATTTCTTTCTGAAGTTTGGACTGCCCTGCTTTTCCTTCCTCCCACACCATCCATCTTGAAACCCAGCAGAGAAGAAAATTCTGAGACTAATGTCCTGTGGTCAGGCTGGATGTATGCCTTCCATTTGAAAACTCCTCTTTGGAGAGAGATTTTAAAGCACACTTCTCCCTGCTTCTCCCCAACCCCTGTTTCCAGCTTCCCACCACACTGTACAGCCTTCTGGGTCTTCGCATTCTTTGTCTATTCTGCGTGGCATGAGAACCTCGCTCTCTTTTTAAAAGCTCTTTACCTTTTCTTTACCTTTATCAAAGAACACTCTTGGAGCTTTAAAATCCAACTACAGCTCTTCTCCTGAATACTTCTGTGTGGAGGGAATTAATCAAGTCTGTCAAACATAGAGCTGTAAAACCTTTAATATTTCTAAAAGGTTTAAAGCCAGCATATTTATCACATGCATCATTGAAAATAATCTTTCTTTTTATTAAAAAATTAAAACACTCACCGTAAAATATTGTGGTGATGAGCACAGTGGGTGAAAGGCTCATGCAGTGGCCCAGTTGTGATATTGGAATGGAGATTCTGCTAAGATCTTCCTGTGACATCACTCCCCTAGAGGACACCCATCATCTACTGCACATCCTATTCATGTGAATGTTTTATATTGTGGAATTTTAGAATCTTGGTGTTCCAAGGGAAAGTATAATAAGAAAGGGACAAATTTTTGTTGAGTGGCTGCTATGTGTCAGGTATTATATCTGCATGCTTTAGGGAAGTTGCCACATTTTCATTTTCACAACAAAATTTTAAAGATTTATTTATTTGAGAGAGACAGCATGAGCACATGTGAGCTAGAGAGGGGCACAGTAAGAGCATCTCAAGTAGACTCCCCACTGAGCTTAGTTCAATGCAGGGCTCAATCCCATGACCCTGAGATCATGACCTGAGCTGAAATCAAGAGCCCGATGCTCAACCAATTGAGCCATGCAGGCACCCTTTCACAGCAAATTTTTATAGTAGGCACTATCACAGCTGATCTTTAGACAGGGGAGCTAAGATTCAAAAAGTGAAGCAAATTTCTCAAGATCATATAAATATTCATCTGCAAACCTGAGACTTGACCATAAATAAACCTAATTCTTTCATTTTGTTTACATGGCAAAAGTCTGACCAGTGCTTAACAGAGGGTAAGTAGCCAACAAAGGGTTGGCAAAGTTGTTGTGACTGTTGGTATTAGGTTCATGAGGATTATTAATGAAAGCTCTTTTTCTCCTAGTGGAGATTGTTGGGCATGATTCTGAGAACCTGAGATGTAAGTTTTAAGATGTTTAATCCAGCAGTGTGATAGTGTTTCCCTTAGAGAGGTACTCACTCAGCTTTTTGTTACTATAACTGGTACAAACACTGTATTTCATTATTTATAACATGCTTCACATGCACAGCCTAAGTTAATGGACTCTCCAGCCTTGTGAAGTGGTATCAGCCCCACTGCCATTTTAGGGATAAGGCAACTGAAGCCCAAAGACCTACTAAGTCATCCTTCCTAGGCCACTCAGCTATAAGCAACTGGGTCATGGTCAAACTCTTCTGGTGCCAAAGTCACAATCTTTCCACTATATTATATCTTTAAACCATTCAATTATTCATAAGAATTAAAGAAAACATAGTTTTGGAGCTTGAAAAGACCTTAGAGGCCAATCAGTCTTGCTTTCCAGATTTAACAACTGAGGCCCAGACACAGAAAGTAGTGTCACAGAAGCCCCATGCTACATGTGGGATAACAGAGGAAAGATGGATTCAGTCAGCTGGGAAAGGGGTCCTAGGACCCCAGGGAAGGCTGCAGTGGGATGCTGACTCTTGATGATGTCCTGAGAGGAAGAGAAGGAGGCACAGAAGATAATTCCAGAGAAGATACTAATATGGAAGAAAGGCAGGATTGTGTGGCAAAATGACAATATGGTGGCCCCATGGGCGGAGGCCTTTCAAGGAAGCTCCAGTTTGTTGTTTCAATATAATTAGTTGTGTAATTGCATTCTCAGACTGCCACCACAGTGCCGCACACATGTGTAATTAAACCCCACCAGCCAGACAGTGTCTTCTATACACATCTACTTCATGCTCCAGCTTTGCATCAGAGCAAGCAACCTAAAGGGAAGGGCCTGAAATTGGGGAGATGTACAGTTTCAACCTCACCTGTCCTATGAACACCCCTCTCTGTGTTCACCACATGTGTTGGAAGAAAAGCAAAGATAAAAGAATCAGAAGGAAGAACAGTTTTCTGCTCCCAGGTTACTACAAAGGTAACAGGCTCATTTCTGGAACTCTTTTGGGTGGGCGAGATGTTTCTCTGGTTTACATTTAGCAAACTGTAATTAGCGTCAGCAGAAGAGAAACAACTGCTGGAAGCACCACTTTCCTCTGAACAACAGCCTCTGTTCTAAAGGGTGGTCTCCAGCACTGGGCTTCTTTCATGGAGATGCAGTGTACAGATGCCCTAGATATGTAAAATGTTTTGGGGGATAGAAGGAAGAGGCCAGTGGATGATCTGCTTCAGATGGCAGAGCAGACCTTGCTTAAGCTTTAGTCAGTTGGAATGATGGGACTCTTGTCTGGTTTCATTTACTCCATAAACGTGTATGAACTCATACCCAGGTAAGCTCACCCTATGCTGAATGCTAGATTGGATGCTGCAGGCTCCCTAGGACTCATGCCTCTGTGAATAGCCATGTAACCAGCATGGCAAATTCATGGTAGGATGCACAACCAGCTGAGGCTTTTTGGTTTGGAAATCTTTGAGTAAATCAGACACTATTAGTTAGGGTAAGTAATGCTAGCAGCCTTAGCCAACAACCCTTCCCAACCTAATATTCAACACAAAGTGTATTATTGCACTTAACAGTGCAATATCAGAGACCGATGCCATCGTTATCTTCAATGCCATCATTATCTTCAATATGTGGCCTCTAAGATCCTTGCAGGAAGGGACAAGAGAAAGGAAAATCATACTTGGGAGACTTTGGGGGCATTTTTTGGAAGTAGCATATGTCACTTCCACTCACCTACTGTTGGCCAGAATTCAGTCATATCCTGCCCCAGTGTAACAGTAAAGGGACTGAGAAATGGAACTTAGCTACTGCTTACAACACATAGCCTTGTCTTGACATGTTTCTTTAAGCTGAGTCCCTATTCAAATAAATACAAGATCGTCTAAAAGACTGCTCTTTTTTATTACTTTAAGGGGAACTTTCCAGGAAAGGTGATCTAGTACAGGATAGAACTCTGTTGATGAGAATTTAATTAATATGAATTATCTGGAAG